TTCTCTTGCATGTGGCTATCCAGTTTTCCACCATGATTTGTTGAAGAAACTATCCTTTCCGCATTGTATATTCTTGGCTTCTTTATTGAAAATTAATTGACCATATATGAATGGGATTGTTTCTGGACTCTCTATTCCATTCCATTGATCAATGTATCTGTTTTTATGCCAAATCCATACTGTTTTGATTATTTTAGCTTTGCAATATACTTCAAAATCAGAAAGTATGATGCTTCCAGCTTTGTTCTTCTTTCTCAAGATTTCTTGGTCATTTGGGGTCTTTTGTGGTTCCATACAAATTTCAGCATTGCTTTTTTTTATTTCTGTGAAAAATGCCATTGGAATTTTTATAGCTGTTGCATTGAATCTGTAGATTGCCTTGGGCCGTATGACATTTTAACAATATTAATTCTTCCAGTCTATGAACATGGAATATCTTTCCATTATTTGTGTCTCCCTCAATTTCTATCATCAATATTTTCTAATTTTCAGAATACCAATCTTTCAACTCTTTGTTTAAATTTATTCCTAAGTATTTTATTGTTTTTGTTTTTTTTTTTTTAATTTTTTGTTTATTGCAGTAACATTGGTTTATAACATTGTAAAAATTTCAGGTGTACATCATTGTACTTCTATTTCTGCATAGATTACATCATGTTCACCACCAAAATACTAATTGGATTGGTGGTTACCAGAGGGGAAGGGGGGAGGGAGGAGGATGAAAGGGATAATTGGATACCTTTTATTTCTTTTTTTTTTTTTTTAATTTTTTGTTTATTGCAGTAACATTGGTTTATAACATTGTAAAAATTTCAGGTGTACATCATTGTACTTCTATTTCTGCATAGATTACATCATGTTCACCACCAAAATACTAATTGGATTGGTGGTTACCAGAGGGGAAGGGGGGAGGGAGGAGGATGAAAGGGATAATTGGATACCTTTTATTTCTTTGTCTTGCCTAATTGCTTTGGCTAGGACTTCCAGTACTATGTCGAATACAAACAGTGAGAGTGAGCATCCTTGTCTTTTTCCTGATCTTAGAAGTAAAGCTTTTTGCTTTTCACCCTTAAGTATGATGTTAGTTCTGGGCTTTCATATATGGACTTTATTATGTTGAGCTACATTCTATCTATACTGAATTGTTTATTAGAGTTTTTATCACGAAAATGTGTTGAATTTTGTCAAGTGCTTTTTTTGCATCTATTTAGATAATTGTATGATTTTCATCCTTCGTTTTATTAATGTGGTGTATCACATTGATTGATTTGTGTATATTCAACCAACCTTGCATCCCAGGAATAAATCTACCTTGATCGTGGTGCATGATCCTTTTAATGTACTGTTAAATTTGGTTTGTTAATATTTTGTTGAGGATTTTTGCATCTATGTTGATCAGTAATATTAGTCTGTTAAGTTTTTTTTTCTTGTGGAGTCTTAATCTGGCTTTGGTATCAGGGTCATGCTGGCCTTGTAAAATGAGTTTGGAAGTGTTCTCTCTTCTGTTTTTTGAAAGAGTTTGATAAGGACTGGTATTAATTCTTCTTTCAATGTTTGGTAGAATTCCCTAGTGAAGCCATTTGGTCCTGGACTTTTCTTTTTCAAGAGGTTTCTAATTACTGATTCAATTTCCTTAAGGTAACTGGTCTGTTCAGATTTTCCATTTGTTCATAATTCATTGTTAATTGGTGGTAGGTTTCTAGGAATTTACCCATTTCTTCTAGGTTGTCCAATTTGTTGGCATATAATTGTTCATAGTAGTTTCTTATCCTTAGTATTTCTGTGCTATCAGTTGTAGTGTTTCCTCTTTCATTTCTGATTTTATTTATTTGAGTCTTTTCTCTTTCTTTCTTAGTTAGTCTAGCTAAAGTTTTGTCAATATTTTTATCTTTAAAAAAAACTAGCTTTTAGTTTCATTGACTTTTTCTATGGTCTTTTTAGTCTCTGTTTTATTTCTTTCCACTCTGATCTTTGTTATTTCCTTTCTTCTACTGACTTTGGGCTTGGTTTTTTCTTCTTTTTCTAATTCCTTGAGATATAAAGTTAGATTTTTTTTTTTTGAGATCTTTCTTTTTTCTTAATGTAGACATTTATCCCTGTAAACTTCCCTCTTAGAACTGTTTTTGCTGCATCCCATAAGTTTTGTTTTGTTCTGTCTCCATTTTCATTTGTCTCAAGATATTTTTAGATTTTACTTTTGATTTCTTCTTTGACCCATTGGTTGTTCAGTAGGATATTTTTCAATCTCCACATATTTGTCAATTTTCCTGTTTCCTTCTGCTATTAATTTCTAGTTTCATACCATTTTGTTCAGAAAAGATGTTTGATATGATTTCTTCTTAAATTTGATAAGACTTGCATTGTGGCCTAACATATGATCTATTCTGGAGAATGTTCCATGTGCAGTTGAGTAAAATGTGTATTCTGCCACTTTGGGATGAAATGTTCTGTATGTTTCTGTTAGGTCCATCTGGTCTTACAAGTAGTTTAAGTCCAATGTTTCCTAACTAATTTTCTCTCTGGATGATCTATCCATTACTGAAAGTGGGATATGAAGTTCCCTGCTATTATTGTATTGCTGTCCATTTCTGCCTTCAGATCTGTTAATATTTGCTTTATATGTTTAGTTACTCTGATGTGAGTGTATAAATATTTACAATTGTTATATGCTCTTGATGAATCGACCCTTTTATTGTTATATAATGGCCTTCTTTGCCAAAAGTTACAGATTTTGGCTTAAAGTCTATTTTGTCTGATATAAGTATACCTACCCCTGCTGTCTGTTGGTTTCCATTTGCATGGAATATCTTTTTCCATACCTTCACTTTCACTATGTGTGTCATTAAAACTGAAATGAGTCTCTCATAGGTAGCATATAGTTGAATTTTTTTTTTTTTCCATCTCTTCAGCCACTCTTTGTCTTTGGATTGGAAAAATTAGTCGATCTACATTTAAAGTGACTACTGATAGATATGGACTTACTATTGCCATTTTGGTAGTTGTTTTCTGGCTGTTTGGTAGTTTCTTTGTTTCTTTCTTCCTCTCTTCCTTTGTGACTGGTTGATTTCCTCTGGTGGACCCTCATGCAGTGGCTCATAAAGTATGCAGTCACACCCCTTCCAGGGAAAGACTGGGAGATGGGCATTTGTGTCTCCTCCCTCTCTGCTGAGCCTTGTGGAGACAGCCATGGCAAATGCACATGGGCATGCCTGTTAACAATTGCTTCTTTGTCTACTACAGTCCTGTGGGACTTGTGAATGCAAATCCCATTGTCTATCAGAGCTAGGTGATCTGGGGGCCTATCCCTCAGGTGGCAACCATAAAAGCTGGATGCCAGACATGTGTGCAAGCTCCCTCCAAAGAGATGCTGGTAACCTGGGTTTTTTACTGGAGTGAGCCAAAGGAAGAAGGTGGGAGAAGTACCCACTGGCTCTTTTTGGCTCCAGAGAGGATCAGAGTCAGCACCTAGATGCATGCAGTTTCATTGTGGGTATTTTCTCAGTCACCTGATGTATAGCAGTCACTCAGCTAGTTTATGGATTTATCTCAAAGGAAATTTCTTTGGGTGTAGCCGTACATTAGGTGTGTCCATGGGAGGAAGCAAATTCAGGAGCCTCCTATGCCCCATCTTAGTCAAAAGCTCTCAGCATTAAGTTTTACTCAAAGACAGAGTAAAGACATGTTCTGTTCTACATCAATCATCTGGTACAAGAGTTAGTTCAAGAACAGTCAAATGGAAGAAATGCATAAGACAAGATATGTGGGAAGGGGTGTGGACTTTCCACGCCCTCTCTGGGCACACTACTCTCCCAGCACCTCCAAGTCTTCATCAACCCAGAAGCTCTCCATCATGCAATCTTGGTTTTTTTCTTTTGTAATCAGATATTTACCGACCTGGGAGATGAGCTTTGCTCTTTTGGTTCTGTAAGTTTCATTTTCTGTACAACATTTTCTGGCAACAAGATTTTTTTTTTTTTTTTAAAGATTTTATTTATTTATTTTTCCCCCCAAAGCCCCAGTAGATAGTTGTGTGTCATAGCTGCACATCCTTCTAGTTGCTGTATGTGGGACGCGGCCTCAGCATGGCTGGAGAAGCAGCGCGTCGGTGCGCGCCCGGGATCCGAACCCGGGTCGCCAGCAGTGGAGCGCGCTCACTTAACCACCAAGCCACGGGGCCGGCCCGCAACAAGATTTTTAAGCTAAGCAAAAGCTACTCATTTGTTTTCTTTCTGAAAAAAAATAGAGAATAAACAATGTCAGTTAAAACAAAAATATGAATTCTCATTGGTGGCTATTAAACTGTGTTTCAATGTATATTTCATGTTAATAGTTTTATAGTAAACACTGGCAGATTGACTCATCAGAATATGATATATAGCACTGAGGATTCATCTCAGTGTACTTCAAGGGAGCTTCAGAAATTTTAGCCTGGGGCCCTTTAAGCTGCCTTACAGCTTCCTTGAAGCAATACAACAAAGACAGAAAAGCAGGCATTGTGAATCAAAGAAGAAAATTCCCATTAATGTTAAAGGAATTTCTTCAGCTTGGAAGAGTATAATTTTGTGTATGGAAGAGTTATTTTTAGATCTTTTATAAGTGATTATAGCTTTGCTGGATGTGTTCCTTTCTCTCTCTGCATTTGTCAAATGTTTTTGAAGTTCATTCAGTCCACTTGGGCTGCATTTTGAAAGTGGCTCATGGAAATTTAAGCAGACAGTCACCATTAACATTAATGGACTTCCTAAGGCAAAATTCCCCCATACTGAGCTCAATATTAACCTCAGTATGAAGTTAGATTTTACTAATATTTAGAGAATACTCAAATCTTTAAAAATATCCCAATTGCTATTTCAATAACAGAATTCCAATTAACCATGTAAAATTCAAATAGCACAACTACTACATTTGAAGGCTAGATCCATGCTTTTGTGAAGACTCCCACGGAACTTGATTGATATATTTTTCTCACTGCAATTTTTCTGTTCCAATGGTGTTTATAGGCACAGCACTTGTTGTCCAGTGGGACCATGTACATCTCCAGGATAATTACAACCTGGGAAGCTTCACATTCCAGGCAACCCTCCTCATAGATGGACGCATCATCTTCGGATACAAAGAAGTAAGTAATGTACTGATGACTTCCTTCCCCCTTGACCTTGACCTCTATCTCGCTTTCCCTCCAAGTGTCAAGAAAGGGACATTTTACAGCCATGAACCTCAAATCATTTTCTCACCTGTTGGTTTCTTTTGCTTCATAAAAAAATACATTTTTTTAAATCTACTGAGTAGCACTGATTGTGAAATCTTTAGGTTTTGTTCTGTATTCTGATATCATTGGCATTAAAATCCATGAATTTCATAAAATTATTGATTAATTATATTCTAGTGGTATTATAATGAAATATCTCTAAGAAAAAAAAATATTTCCAATTTGGAAGAATTTCTTTTCATCTAAATCTGATTGTTTATATTTTTTTGTTTGTTTTTGCCTTGTCGATTTCTGTGACATTTTTTGGTTCTAATTCTAGAAGAATTAGTAGACATGAAAACTTGTGTGGCTCAGTGACCCAGTACTGAAAGTGTTCCAGGACAGCTAAGTCTGCAATCCCTTTGGCCAATGTTTATTGTAACCTGATAGGAAAGATTAATCAGAGATCTAAGGGACAGAAAGAATAAGGGAATTTAAACTTATGGTTTGTTTCATTTCACCAAATTGACATAAAGGAATGGAAATTCACTAAGTTGTAGCCTTAAATTTACAGAATGTCTAAATTAGAATAATAGCATGTTTGGTTGAAGAGTCTATTGACAATGTAATTAAGGTCTATTAGACAACATAAACTTTTGGGGAAGAAAACAAAGAATAGAAGAATCAAGTTCCAGGAACAGCAGATGTGATGTTTTAGGCAGTCACAGGCATGAGAGAAATTCTGAGAATTTGAATTGATAATGGGCATTATTAACCCAAGGATTAATGGGTATTTATAATAATGCAGACTCAATATTTTATTTTCAATTGAAGGGTTATTTTTCCCTTTGGAAATGAATCTTCAGCTGGTTAAAGGATGTGGACAATTTTAAAAGGATTCACTTTGGTAAAGTCTCCTGAAATCTATCTTTTTTTTTTTTTTAAACGGAAATAGTTTTATTATTTTATTTATTTATTTATTTAATTTTTTATTTATTGCAGTAACATTGGTTTATAACATTGTATAAATTTCAGGTGTACATCATTATACTTCTATTTCTGGATAGATTACATCATGTTCACCACCCAAATACTAATTACAACCCATCACCACACACATGTGCCGAATTATCCCTTTCGCCCTCCCCCTTCCCCCCTTCCCCTCTGGTAACCACCAATCCAATCTCTGTCTCTGTGTGTTTATTGTTATTATTTGAGGGATAGTTATACTTTGATTACATAGGCTAACTTTTGGAAATCTCATAACCATGTGAAATGTTCCCACTCTTTTGAAGAATTCTTCTGTAGAATTAATCACTTACTTGGGGCAATAATATAAATAGAATAGAATATAGGATCTGTTCTTCCTGGTGCTTGTTTATCCAGAGCTATGTTTTGATACCATTGCCCACCATATTCTTAGAGAACACTCGTGAAAGCTGAGAGAATGTTGCTCAGAGTGACTCACTCATTTCCAGTATTCATTATATCTAGTGTATTGCTGGGACTGCAGAGTGACGTTATGGAATGTTAGTTTTCAAGGGTTTTAATCAACAGTGGTAAAGTTTCTGGAAAGATGCAGGGTCAGGGAGTCTAGAGTCTTAAATCTCACTAACTGTAGGCTTTGTCAAAACAGAGGTTTGTGTTCTTACTGTGGTCTCTCTCTCTGGTCTTTGTTATCAAAACTGTCATTTTCATTTACACTGTTCTCAATGGGTATCTCACATTGCAGAGTAACAGTTTATTTTTCCTGTTCTCTCTTTGTGTAGTGGATTTGGTATTTTTTAAATGTTTTTTTCTTTTTTTTGTTTTAATCAAAAAAAAAAAAAACTTCCGTTATGTTTTTCCTGCTTTGTCATGAGGAATATTAAGCTGATAGGCAATTTTAACACTTTCTTGATATCCCCAGACTATTGTCCTGTTGAACATCAGTCTTTCTGAACTCAGAGTTCTAAAAAAGTCATTACTTTATTATTTGCCTTACAGTCCTTCTCTGTCCTGGTTAGAAAGCAAATTTTTTTTATTTTCTATTCTACTTTTATTTTTTTTCTGATACTTGTCATGCATTTTATTTTGCTGAGGCAAATTTCTATTTGCAAAATTTGCCACAATAGAGGTCCCCTTGCATTTGGGGTGAGAGCTAGATGCTCCTGGCACTTCTAGAAAAATATTTATGATCATGATAGCATACAATGGTTGTTTGCATAATGTATTATCCCTGACAAAATGCTTTCACGTACGTTATACTTTTAAATTCTTCCACAATATCTTATATTTTAATATTCTTAGCCTTTCACAAAAGCATTCCCACATAGAAAGTGTTTAATAAATGTGTGTGGTTTAATTATGGAATTAGATCATACACAATTATCTTTATTTTATAGGTAAGGAAACTGAGTCAGAAAGGTTAAATTACATGCTTGAGGTCACAGAGCTAGTTAAGGACAAATCCAGGACTAAAAACTTTAATTTGGTAATCCCAAGATACCTCAACATTTTTTTCTTTCCCAAGGAGATTATGTATAACAATTCACAAATCTATTTCTTTTTTGTTTTTTCAATAAACATTTGTTAATGTTTGGTATTTAGTAATCTTTTTATCTGACTCCAATATATTACACCATTACAATCCCACAAAGTCAGAAGTATTTCTAGTGAAATTGTAGAGCTAACAAAATCATAAGAAAGTAAGAATGTAAGGAGTATAATTTTGTGTTCCTGTCCAGATTAAATTTACAGAAGCAAAATTATAGATAGGGAGGTAAATGCAATTCTTTCTGTAATAAGTTGCTTCTGACTAATGCCAGCTTTGTTTTATTTTATTTTAAGTGAGAAGAAAAATTCTGATTTATGCAGATATTACCAGTAAAGGACTTGATTAAGTTGTAGAGTAAAATTAGTAGTGCACTGAATAAATCTATTGACACAAATTTCATTTTTATTACCCTCAAATGATTTATTCCAGTAGTTAATTATGTTTCTCTTAGTAACTCTTAATGTACCAATTGCCAATTCTAACCACTCAAATGACCTCCAATTCTGTCATATTCCATATATAGTCATTTCTCCAATGCAAACTAGATAAAGAATGATCAATAAACTATAAAATACATTTGCACTTCTCATAACAATACTGCTGGTAATGGGATTGAGATAGGGAGATACTTTACTACTGTTTAAAATAAGAGTGAATACAGATTTGTTCATAGCATTAATGGTCCTTCACCAAAGTCCCAGTGTTCTCCTGACCATACTGGTGAGAGAAATAGTGGAGGCACAGATTCCTTTAAATAATTAAGTTATCTCTCTTGAGGTTATAGCTCTGTATTATTCAACCAAAAATTTGAAATTCTGTTTTCAGTTCTAGGCCCTTATTATTACACAGCTGTTTATTTTAGTTACCTTCAAAGATATAGTTTACTTAGGATGAAGCCAAAGTGCACACAGACAAAAAATCATCTTTTCAAAAATTTCATCTCAAATTATCAACTGTTCGCTTTAACGCATTTTTCAATTTTGGGGTACCATTTGTTTCTTTTGCATTTAATTACATTTTGAAACCTTCTTGTCATCTATATCCTTGAATATATTAATAACTTTTTTTAAAGTTTATGACTGATAACTCCAATATCTAGATTTCCTATGGGTCTATTTCTATCATCTGTTTGTTTTTTTCTCTAGGTTTTCACTCATGGGTCCTGTGTCCTTTCATGCTAGATAATTTTTTATCAAGTGTGGGGTATTGTTTACAAAATACTAAAGAGAAACTTTGAAGTTGTGGTTGATGTTTTCTTCTTCCAGGGAGGGTTTGCTTTTTTTTTTTTTTTTTTTTGGCAGTTAAGATGGGACAAATTACTTTAATTCTGTGCAGGGCCACACTCATTCAAAGTTGAGCATCAGTCTTTGTAAAGGCTGTGTATTTCTGGTTAGCCCTCAGTCTTAGAGTGTAGTCCTTCAGGGATCTCCACTTAAGACTTGTGTATTTACTACGGACCTTTGGCCTTAGTGGCCCTGAACTCCAGTGTTTTCCTGAACTCTGTGAGACTGCTTAAAGTTCTATTCAGCTTTTTAGTCTCTAAACCTTGTTTACAAATTGTCAGATGCCTTGATGGGAAAATGATGTTGGGCTCACTTCTGAGATTTCCTTTCTCTGGAATCTTGGCTTTTCAAGTCCTCATTCTTTGATAGCCACCTGATGCCTTCAACAGATGCTTTCCATATTTTATTCATCCTTCCTGCTTGATCTCAGTAATAGAAATGGTCTTATACAAGTCTGTCTGCCATAACCAGAAGTCTCATTAGCTTTTAATAACAACCTCCAAATTTGATAAAATCTGGCATTTATTGAGCTCTTCATATATGCCAGGCACTGGCCTAAGTGCTTAAAATGTATCTCATATAATTTTCACAAAAACCAAGAGGTAGTTACTTTTATCATTTGGAGAGAAGGAACCTGAAACACCCAGAGAGGTTAAGTAACTTTCCCAGGATTATGAAACAAGGGTTCATCCAAGGGAATATGATTCCAGAGCCTATAGGCCTAGCCACTGTACCATACTGCCTCCCTATAAACTTTCTTTTCAAGAAGTGACTGAACTGCTTCACTCACTTCAAAATCATTGACAATCTTTCCTGGTTAGTCATTATTATACTGTAACTCAGCCACCCAAGAGCACAGTTAAGAATGGTTTGTTTTTCTGCAGCATTTATCTTATTTAATTAAATTTTTTAAAAAATGAAAAGTTGTACATAGATTAAAAAATAATAAAAATATGCATCATTTCTTAGATAAATGGAATTTGGAAAATCAAATTCCCATTTTCTATTCTGTTAATAACTAGCTCTGACCATGGAACCCAGATTCTTTATATTATTTTGTTGCCATTGAATAGTGATGATTGATTATAATAGATAGAGACCTGAAATTTTTG